GCCAGGTATCATGAGCAAGAAGACAACGGTGGCAGCCCATCCCGGTTGTGGACCCCAACGGTCCTCCGACCGTGGGCCTTCGTCGCATTTGCGGCGCTCTTTATTGCCATCCTGATCGTTGTCCAAGTGCTTTATAGCGTGTCAATCAAAAACAATGGCATCAGTGCGAGTGACGCAAAGTACCGTTATCTGTGGACGTACGGTCCAACTGCCGGTAGGCTAATGTCCCCACCAATGTAATGGCACCTCTGCTAACATTCGCAAAGTACTAATTATCGTGGCCGGAATCTGGGGACAGGTGGAGTATCGCACAAAGCAACTCATGCCATGGAAACTGATGGGCCAAACCCCAAAACCGGCATCGCAGAGTTTGCTACTAGATTATGTTTCAGACTGGAATGTAGTCACCTTGTTCAGGGCCTTGAAGCACTGTCATTGGGTCGTTGCCATTGCAGTCCTCGGAACCCTCCTCCTGAAGCTGCTTACAGTCGCTTCAACAGGCCTGTTCATGCTTCAGAATGTCCGCGTCAGCGATGTCGACACCAAATTAACAGCGGAAGCGACGTTTAGCGGCACAGGATATGGCAGTGCGAAGGTTGATAGCAATGCTGCGTTGACCGTTGTCGGCAATAAATTTCTGAATCTTCCCCATCCCGTCGGAACCACGGACAAGTACGCGTTTATCCCTTTCCACGGATCCGATACGCCATCAGGTAGGTCAATACATCATGTCTAGTACGTAAGGACGCAGATTCTAAATCCAGTGTAGCTTCGAACACGATTCTGTCCGGTACCGTGGATATGTTCTCCACTGATTTAAGCTGTGAAGTGGCAACCGTCAAAAACTGGACTCAGAGTTGCGCAACCAAGCATTGTGAACAAACACTGTTCAACTTGACTCTCAGTACCCCAGAATGCTCACAGTACCAGTTCAACGCATTCAGCCGAAGCACTTCCGCTGTGGGTGGATGGCATGCAACCGTCGTCTCGGAGGGATGTGCCAGTTCTAGTGATGACACGAACACTGACCGAGTGATTTTCGCTGCTGCCCACTGGCTGAATGGCAGTGCGCAGGTCCAGTCCCTTGTTTGTGAGCCTACGTACACGATATCGCCAGGATTGGTCTCGCTGTTTAAAAGCAACCAAAGTGTGGCGGAAATCAACTCCACTGGCAAGGCGGCCACGTCCAATCACACAATTCCGGGTGTAACAGCGGCCGATATAGTCTCGGGGTTGCTTGCTACGTTGACGGCTGCAGATAGCTCTGTGGGGACCCTTATCCAGTTAGATTATGGCTTAGCTGCCAATTTAGCTGACCCGGATAATAACTACCTCGACCCCTTTTACCGGATTGCAACTGTTTCATCTCCGGACAATTTTGAGCCCTTACTGGACGCGGCGAACTTGGAGGCGATATCTCGTCCAGTTTACAATGCCATTACTGCACAGGTAGCAAGGCAATACCTCATGACGTCTGCGGATAAGCCATTCAATGGCGTATACTCGGCATCCACAGAAAAGCTCCTCGTGCGAGAATTGTCAGTTCGACTGATGGAGGCCGCGTCGGCGCTTTTGATTCTGGTGGCTGGGGCGATGTGGATGTGGAGACCGGCCAAATGCACACCTCGAGACCCTGGTACAATATCGGGCATGGCAACGATATTAGCCCGAAGTCCCGACTTATCTCATCGACTCTCCGGCATTAAAAATGGGAAGGATTTGAAGTCATCGCTGGCCGGCGGTCTGTTCGTTTCAGAGGTCGCCAGCCTGGACGGCCAACGAAGCTTCAGCATCGTCACGAAGCATGATGCCAAAGAGGAACTTCGTGCTACAGAAGCTTCAAGCCAAATATCCTGGTGGAAGCCTCTTGCAATGTCACTGGCTTGGCGAATTCTTACCTTAGCTGTCCCTCTTCTCGTCATTGTGGGTCTCGAGACCACCTACCAGATCTCTCAGAAACAAAATGGCTTGGCGGATATCACATCCGATGGTTATATTCGCTACACCTGGGTCTATATTCCTGCGTTTATAATGCTGTTAATTCAGGCTCTTTTCGAATGCAACCACTTCTCTACTCAAGTTATCCAGCCCTACTTGGAGCTGAGGGCTGGTGGCTTGACAGCACAGGAAAGCTTGATGGACAATTACCTGTCGAAACTCACCATGCATGCGCTTTGGAGTGCACTTGTTAAAAGAAAGTATGCAATTTTTACTACGGCACTGACTATGGTTCTGGCACCTTGTTTGACAATCGCCGCGAGTGGTTTGTATTCTACCGAAGCCGCTAGCTACGTGCGTGCCGTGTCGATCTTGAGAAACGACTCATTCAACTCGACCGTGGATCCTCAAGCCTACCACTCAGGGCAGAAAGGGATAGGTCTTACCGGAGCTCTTGTCGTGGGAGCCAATCTCTCATATCCGGACTGGACGTATGATGAGGTAGTCCTTCCGGCTCTCAACCACAGTACGCTCACGGATGTGAAAGAAGATAGCATGTACAAGCCCACCAACCAGAGCTCTACGACTGACAGTGTTTTTGAGCTGACGTACCCTGCTCTCCGTGCTGGCCTCAACTGTACAGTCCTTCAACCAAGTCAGTTCTTAAAAACGACTTCGTACCTCGGGGGTTCCATAATGGCATACCTGTCTCTCGGGGGCGAGTGTTGGACCGGTAGCACGAAAGTTGACAATGAGAGTGCAATTACGTATTACACCATGACTCTCCCAATGAACACCACGACTTACAACGGCACTGCCTTTGGCACACTTCAGGTTACGGATATGATAAATGAAAAGCCAGAGTGCCCGAAGATGGTGGGCTTATACGGGGTCGTGAACCACCCTAATTCCACCAAGACCGACGGTATTCGCGGATTCACCTGTTTTCCATACGTCGACGAAGTCGATGTGGATACAAGATTCACCGTTCCAGGATACAAGATCCAGTCCGTCAAGCCAGACGAATCCTCAAGCCGGCGGTTCGCGGACAGCCTTGCATCACAGTTGGATTTTGATGCGTACTTACCCACGAGCGGCAAAGTCACTGATTACGAGGGATTAGACAACGTCTTCCTCGCAATGATACAAGACCAGAAGACTTTAACAGTTACGGATGTTGAACAGGCGGACCGGGAACCTGTCGTGATCAACGCCACCCAGCATCTCTATCGCGTTCTTATGGCTCAAAGCATGAACGGAAACTCCCGACTGCCGCTAGAGAAAGAAACGAGATACCAGGGGACAGTGGTCGATCCTACGCGTGTCCGTCTCAAGCAAAGTGCTGTCTCGACCCGTATTCTAGAAGGGTTTCTGGCCGCCATGGCTCTTTGTATTATGGTGGCGTTTTACTTGGTGCGTCGGCGGGAGGTAATTCCGGTGAACCCATGCAGCATCGCTGGGGCTGCGACGTTGTTGGCCGGCTCCGAAATGCTGAAGCCGGACGTGATCCCGCCTGGATCGGAATGGTGCGACGATGCCGAGCTGGTGAAACGGGGCGTGTTCAGTGGGTTGATGTTTGGTCTGGGGTGGTGGGAGGGGACGCGGTTTGCGATTGATATTGGGCGGCCGGAGCAGTAGATGCGATACATTTCCTGTTTGATTTCCTTCTGTTTCCTACATTTACGAATCCTCATGGTAGCGGATGTACGACTAGAATATACTGACCTAATACATGCACTTATGAACTACAATGATGGAAAACATATTTCTCTTTTCCTGCTATGATTTCTACGCAAATCTCGCTGCCAAGATCACCGAACCAGCCACCAACAGCCAAGACCAACATCCCGAATGTTTTCCGATCGTCAGTGATTATGTTCCCGATCTGGTTCGCCTTGCGAGCCCGTAGAGTCTTCGCCGACGTAGTATGGTTACATCTGGACGAGATACATTTTCCCATGACCTGGAGCAATTTGTCTGGATCTGAGACAAGTGTATCTGCTGTCGATATCAACGCTGTCGGACCCACTTTACTTCGTGTATGCATTGTTTAAGGCCGACTGCCCAGCCCTACACGCTACAGGCGATGTCAGCTGCCGGAGTGCCTTTGATAGGCGGCTCCATGCACAGCCATGTAGTGAATGCTAACTTGGGCCATGTCATGCTTGGTCTACGTCCCGAGCTTTGTGCTGTCAGACTAAAGATAGTAATAATGCACCGGCAGCCAGGATCTGCCAAGCCAAACCTGATTGTTCATCCCGGCTCTTTGTGCTTGTCGGCCTGATGACCGCGACCCGGGGGGGGGGAACCATGGTTGCATACAACAATGGCGGTGGCAGTGGTTCTTCTGTGTTCCGTTGCCGAAAGAACCAATAAAGAGTAGTATGGCTACTGCATCTCACCGTGGGACCAAGAGGCAGACAAGCCGTGGAACCCAGATCGGGCCAACAAGATCACGTCGCAGCATTACACAACATCAATCCGGTAGCTTGACTACGCCCAAATGTCATATCAGACTAAGGTGCAGCAGGCGTAGAACCATGCATTGTGTGACTTTTGCACAGCCCTAGACCGCCAGTCGTTAGTTACTTGGCGGCTCCACAGAGTCGGAGACAAACTCCAATGGTGAAGACGCCAACCCGACGATCAGCCTCACCTTAACTGCTCCCTTTCCGACCTTCCCCAGATTTCGTCGGCTCACGGTGCGAGTTCGGAAGGGTTCAGGGCCAGGATCCCTTGCGCCTTGCGTCTATCTTTAGACTTTTGGCCCTTGTGTTTGTTTTTGGGGTTTTCTTCCTTCTTTTGATTTGATTTTTTTTTTTTTGACCCAGTGATTCCTTCAGATCCACTGCGCTATTAATTAATCTAATCTCTGATCCTAGGATATAAATAATGCGTCCGGATCTGCTGTTCAGGAGAATTATTCTTTCCATCCTCACATCCGTTGACTTCCACCACCACATTCAGACCACACGGTCAACCATACACTTTCTACCACCACTATAATTCTTAATACACCTTTAATTCTACACATCTCAACTTAATACAATCAATTAATCAAAATGCACTTCCACACCACAACACTGGGCACCGCCCTCGCGGCCCTCCTGACCCTCACCACCGCCCTCCCAACCACCTCATATTCCTCCCTCACCACCCGCGACGACGGCCAATGCCCCACCGGTAAAAACTACTACGTCTGCTACAAGAACAAGTTCCGCGGTTGCTGCTCCATCGACCCCTGCGACCTGGATACCGGCTGTCCCGACGACAAGCCCACCGACCCCACGCCCCCAACTTGCACGCCGGGCCAAATCTACCAGCCCAAGATGGAAACCTACATCTCTTCCTCTGGCGAGCCCATCTCCACCCCAAACCTTAATGTCTCCAATACCGCCACCGCAAAATGGGACCAGACGATGACGTTCTCCCTGCCCAAGGGCGCCAAGTCCTGCTCCCTGAACTGGGGCGTGCCCGCCGAGCGCAACTTCAAGGCCGGCAATAATGCCCTGGTGCGGGTGTGGAAGGGGGATAACTTCGAGGGCGACAGTGTTGGGGCCGCGGACTTTACAAACTGGCCGGGTGTGGATGGCCCGCATACGCATACTGTCGGCAGTGTGGATTGTGCCGAGGAATTGGTTTTCCGGGCCAAGCTGGTCAAGGAGAGTGAGGTTTTCTTGGAACAGAATGCTGAGACTGGGTGGTATGTTGATTACAAGTGTTAGATTTGGGGTGGGTTTGATGTGAGATGATTTGCAATTTTTTGTTTCTTTCTTTTTCCTTTTCTCTTTATGTTTCTTTGTTGTTTGCCTTTGGCGTTTGAGATGAGGTTTCTTTTCTTTTCCTTTTCCTTTAGATAGTCTTACGGTTGTACATGTTTCGTTTGCGTAGAAATAATGTCTAGGATAGTGATGACCAACATAATAAGATCTAGTTAGTATTAGCTTAGAACGCAGATCGTGCAGAAATTCAATCTAAGTTTTAAAGTGGAATTCCGTGACATCGGCACTCTTCTCGAATTCAGAGACTCCACATTCCAGCAAATCACGTCAGAAAACTACATGTCGAGACCATCCAGCATCCACTCCAAAATCCGACCCAGCAAACCACAAACTGCATAAAAAGCACGTGCTATACAAGATACATACATAGAACCCAAGAGGATATACAAGATTCTCGGGAATCATTCCCGGAAGTCTCGAATCTGGGTTCTGAAGTTACACCTGAGGTCATGTTAAGCTCCACAGGAATGTAACTCCTGGAATGCTAGGGCAACGCCAACTCCCGTGATCGCCCATGATCTACGACGACATGGCCGGAACGTCAATGCTCTCGATTTCCCAAACCTTTCCTCCCTCGCTGGATGTTAACCCGGTGTAGGTCGCGCCGCCGGCTGATGCAATCGTGTCGCCGAAGGTCTCGTCCGCTTCAGCTAGCGTGATCTTCGTGTTGACGTATTGCTGGGCCGCGATGGTGCCCGTGCAATCTTCGTTGCATTCTGTTCCGGTTCCGTAGCTGGTTTGGTTAGCTTTACCATCTAGTGGTGAAAGCAAGGGAAGGGGTCCTCACCCGGTCATGTAGGGTCCGGACTTGTATGAGAAGGTCGAGAGGATCTCCCCTGTTTGTGCGTTGGTTACATTTCTAGACATGTCATCAGTCACTATCCCCAACAACCACAACCCAACTATACACCGGAAATAACACAAGAAATAAGAAAGTAAGAAAATGAGGGGAGAACATACTGCAACCAAGTATCCCCATCCTCCAACAATACATACTCAATCCGGACCTGATCATCCCCCTTAACAGGTGCCGCATCGCCATCCAACTGTCCAAAGCTCCCAAACAAACTCGCCCGCACACACCACTCGCCCTGCTCTGCGCCGCACCACTCGTTACTCGCCCAACTCTCCAGCGTCGTCTGCACGAGATCCCCCGTCCCGTTACTCATCCCGGGCCAGAGAAAGAGCACCCCGTTCTGCGTCGCCGGCGCCGCACCGGGGATAAGAGTCGTCACGGCATTGGTGATCGTCGACCTTGTGGGGCCGAGGGATACGCTCCCGCCCCATGTATCGGCTCGCTTGGTAGCAGCCAACGCAAGGGCTGGGAGGAGGAGGAGGGTAGCAGTCGCTGTTTGGAATTTCATGGTTATTTTTTTTCCCCCTTGGATTGAGTAGTTTCGAATTGTAAGCGAAGATCGCTTGGGAATTGCCAAGTATATGGTGGATTTTATATACGTTTGAAGGCTTCGGTGTAGTTACTTGGGGTTGGCGTTTCACCTTCAAACCACTTCTTCTTGGCGGTTCCCGCTTGGTCTTTGGGGTCATTTATCTGAGACCGGTAGATGGCCTTTTTCGGGAATTACATCGGGTGCTAGGGGGTTATGCCGCCAATTGGGAGCTTATTTGGTTTGTGGTGGTGCTGGTTGGTGGTTTTGGATGTGGTGCTTTGGGGGTTTTCCGGAGATGGGTTGGATTGTGTTTCTAAATGTAGTTCTGGGAGTGGTTTTCTTGGCTGAGGATGGTGTGATGGCACAGGATATGCTTGAGGTTGAGTAGGTATGGTTTCGCAGGTTTGCAGGTTCATTACTTAATCTATATTCTATCAATCTGGACTGCTCAGGAAATATGCACCCCGATAGGAATCAATTTAGAATAGAATAGAGTATCTCATACCAGACTGATTCTACTCGCAAGGGAAGACCGGAAATCTAGGAAATGTTGTCATTGACTCATGTATACGTTTATATTAAGAATGACCGAACTAGTAAAATTCCACAATCAAATACGCCAACTCCATGCGAATCAAGGGCCAATGCCCAGCTCACGGTTGATTCTTTTCATACCATTCCCGAACGACCTCATCGATGTGGGCCCGGAACTTCTCCTGCTTCTCCAGCGGCGCAAACGACTCCACGATGACGTTGACGATACTCTCGGCATCAACGAGACGGATACCGTCTTTACGGTAGCCCTCTAGGTCCTCCAGGGTCGGGAAGGTATAGTAGTTGCTCTCCTCGGGCTTCTGCGGAACAGTGGGCAGCTCTTTTCCGCGGGCGATAGTGTCACATACATCCACTGCCATCTTAGCTCCCATGGCATACACATCGTTCATGAAATGCAGCATCGACTTGGAATAGTCAATGGGATGGTGACGAACGTCGATGAGGTCTCCTGCGTCCCAGTCCTCGTCGATGTCATGCAGCGAGTACCCGAAGAGTGTCTCCTTGTTCTTCATCGCTCGCACGGTGGTCATGACGCCACGGTAAGCGGGAAGCGTGCCTGGATGCAGGTTGAGGAGTCTTCTGGGCCGCGCGAAGTAGCGGATGATATCTGTTTTGAACCGTTGGTAGCAGCGTAGAGAGAGGCCCACGTCGATATGGTGCTTCCGGAGAGTGTTGATGAAGGACGCACTGTTGACGTTGGGAACTTCCTGGACGAGGATCCCGTAGGCGTCTTTCATCTGCTCGACTGTCATGTGTGATGCGCCACCTGGTCTCTCGTTCGTGAAGTACGGGATAACGTGTTTCTGGAGTAGTTCTCGCTCGAAGAATGCGAGTTCGCGGAGCTCGAACGGCGGAGTGGTCTTGCGGTTGGCCTTGTGTGCTGGGAGGAAGATGAATGGCGTGTGGCCGGCGGCGAGGAGCTGCGGCACCAGTGTGCTGGCCATGAGGTGCGAGAAGAGGTCGCTTCCGAGGAAGATGGCAATGTGTAGGGGACGTGCGGTGGGCTCGTTCGTTACAGCGTCCGCGACCCGGGCGGCGTGGGCAGCGACGCGGTCGATCGCACTCACATAGAAATGCGTACCCCTGGTGAGACACCCGATGACATGCAGGCCCTCTGATGCACGCAGGGTGTCGAAGTCGACGGCTACGCCGCCAGCAGGGTGCGGCTTGAGGAGCCCCTTGTCCACTGCGGACTGGATCAGTGGTGACTCGATGCGGTCGAGTTGGCATTCCTGCCCGGTCGCCTCAATCACATAGGGAGTTTCTATAAGCCCAACGGAGGTCTGCGCTTTGAAGACGCCGTCCCATTGGACTCGGTCGCCCTGGACCACCCGTAGCTGTCCTTTCTTCAAGAGGCCGAGGATCTTCTCAGCGTTCTGTATCGGCATTCCGTGGCGGTACCTCATCCACGGACTGAAGAACTTGTCCATGAAGAGCTGCTGGCTCTTCGCGGGTAGACCGTTCCAGTACCGCTCGATAACTGGGGCCGTTGCTCGCAGCACTGTCTGCCATTCCACGTTTCCGCTCTTTGCGGCATGGATATCGTGTTCCAGCTGTTTCACCGGAGATTCATCGTTGTGGAGCCAGCTCCAGTCGCCTTTGGTAGCGTTGAAGATCTCCTCCATCAAGCTGCTTGTTACTTGCAGCAAGTTCTCATCAGAATTCTCTTCGACATGCTTCGCCAGGTCATGCAGGACATAGCGGCGAGGGAACGGTGTCGAGTCGCCTTGCACCTTGGGCAGACTGCCGCTGCGCGACATGAAAGTAATGGGGCCCTGATGACCATGTTCTGAGAGGAAGATGGCCGTATCGACAGCCGACAGCCGGGACCCGACAACGAGGACAGAGGCATCGGCCGGGATAGTCTTGAGCTGCGACGTCGGCCACGGGCCGGGGAAGAACCCGGGGAGATTGATGAGATGCGCGTTGCACACCGAAGTAAAGTTGCCCAGCGCCAAGACGACCGACTTGGCCGTCAACTGCGTGCCATTCCGGAGACTCACAGCCATTGTGCCGTCTGTCTGTCGATCAATGTCGTGCGCCTCTTCATGAACCACCGACACACGGAGTCCGATATGTTGAGCTTCCTCTAACGCCTGGCCCCACGTCTCCTGGAGATACTGGCCGTATCTCGCCCGAGAAGGGAAGGGCCCACTTTCTTGGTCCGTGCGCCACTGCGTGAAATGGAGGGGTTTATCATGATATAATCCCATCGTATCTGTATGCATGTTGAGGATGGTGCCCGCACATTGGGACGAGTATGGCAGACCGGGTCCAGGGAGTCCGTTCTTTTCCACAAAGATGACTTCTCCAAGGGATTTCCCGTTCTTGACTCGTTCAATCAACTGAAGCAGAATTGCCACTCCACTCGCTCCGCTGCCCACTACAATGAGGTCATTGGCGGGCGGCGAGGGAGTATAGGGTAGGGATACTGCGGAACCCATGATGAAAGGTGTTGAGCTCAGCTCTTGCGGGGTAGAGACCATGGATCTGGGGTTCGGTATCAGCAGGGGCTGCCCGTTTATATGTGCTTGTGGGGACCAGGCATAGATGCTTTTCAGACGAACTGAGGGACAATTGGGGGTTAAGACATGACTGCATTACGACCAGAGGAGGGGTTGTGTCGCGAACATGCCAGGGTCTGTCGATGATGCCAAGAGTCCAGCGGGGATTCGAACTCCTGATTATCCCCATCAGCTGCAAAGATGACGGGTCATCACTGTCACCTTTGGCGCCAGTATTGCTGCCGCGTGCTGCTCTGACTGGTTTTCGGTAAATGAATCCAGGCGTTGAGGGAGGGGAAGATCAGTGGATCACTTCTACGGTCCGGCTGTTGAAATCATTTGCTCGTCACCTCCATAATCCAGCGGTTTTACACGGAGTCCGGAAGTGGGGATATCCGAAATGCCAATTGATCCATATTGAAGTCTGATATTCGGTGGCTGCTCACGCATGACTCGGGACAGGGGTGCGTTCGGCATGATTCTGCAGGGCCTAGGCACTTGAGAACTCGCACACCAAGATGTCCACAATCAAAAGGACGCGTACTTCATGACCTTGGGAGCTTACAGCGTAGATTGTAATATTTTAAGGGCTGGCCAGACCGCGGAAGTCTACCGTCGTTGTTTCGGCTTACACCGGCATTAAGCATCATTCCATTCTCAGCTCGACAAGGCATACCGAAACCCTCACAATGGCTCCACGCATTGGCGAAACAGTCCAGCCAGATGACCTAGCCAAAAGGGCACATCGCCAGATCTCTGAAATGCTGAGAGACTCCTCGAAGCGACTCTTTCTCATGGGCATCTTGGCCAGCGACGATGCTGGCTCTACCCAGTACGCGAACTGGACTCGCAAAACCTGTCAGGAAATGTAAGCCCGAGACAATACGCCAAGAATCCCAGCCCATGTCACTAATACGCATGCTTAGCGGAGTGCATTTCCACCTGATGAAGTTGTCCCCCGAAAATGTGGCAACCTACATCCGGGCGATCAACGCCAATAACAGTGTCCATGGCATCATCGTGTACTATCCGATCTTCGGTGACCAGAGAGACGACGAAATCAGACAGTTTGTCGCGCCGAGCAAGGACGTAGAAGGATTGAACCATCAGACTGTGCACCGGCCCTCGGATGTTGCAGAGCCCAGACCACCAAAACAGGGACGGAGTATCATCCCCTGCACGCCAAGGGCGGTTGCGTGGATCCTGGAGTGGATGGACGTGCATGATCGCACACGGCCCGCCGGGGAACGGCTGCGGGACGAGGAGATCTGCATCATTAACCGGTCTGATGTGGTGGGATTGCCACTCGCGCAGTTGCTCGCGGGGGAAGGCGCTCGCGTCTACAGCGTGGACATCTCCGGTGTCCAGCTCTTCCAACGCCTGTACTATCCTTGGCACTCCGAAGGTCTGCACGGAAAGGATCTCCCGAACTGGACGCTGCAGACGGCCGTGCAGCGGTCTCGAGTGGTCATCTCGGCGGTTCCAGATCCCGCGTTCAAGGTGAATACGAAGTGGCTTCAGCGTGGCGCCATCTGTGTCAACGTTTCTTCAGAAAAGGTACGCATCGTGCACTCCGGGCTTTCCATAATCAGGTCTTGGCTTGTGTCCGCTGACCAGAATGGACAGAATTTCGAGCCTAACGTGGTCGAGGTGGCGTCTAAGTTTGTCCCACGCGTTGGCAGCGTCACAATCGGAGCTCTCCTGTATAATCTCATCCTGTGTTCGGCACGGAGCTAGAGCCGTTTATGCGTAGCGAGATGATCCTCCAAGACAAATGTCCGAGTCGCTCTCCGGCGATCTCCATGCAATGTCAGACTGTGGGGTCTTGGTTTGGCGTGTTTCTTGCATCTGAGTAATAAAGTATACGAAGGATTTCGCCGCCAAGCTTGAAAAATCTTGTTGTCGCTGTTCTTCTGG